CGCGTTATAGAGCTCCACGAACAACTCTTTGTGGGTGCCATTAGACAGATTATGTTCCTGGGAGATATTGGGAAGGCAACAATACTACCCTTTTGCGCTACCTGAACCGTAGCTGGAAGACGACGGCGGCTGCTACAGCTCGGAACGAAAGAGGGTGTTCCGTTTCGCTGCTTACCTCGCCGTCGCTCCGAGAAATAGACAATATAAAGACGGCGTCGTAAATTCGCGAGCTTCAAGGTACGATACGAAAAGCCCGTGAAATATGGCGAGCGCGCGCTGCCGGTCACGTTTTCACGCGGTTGTTTCACCGCGGAACTCGTCTCACTTCGCCCTATCCTCAAGACTCGTCGAAAGACCCTCTTATCCGTCGAATTCGCGACTTTAATTCGACTCCAATATTGATGTTAACTACCGCGGTAATCACGATATCTGGCATTATGATACTAATTCGTCAACTTAGGGGAGACTGAGGCTAGATGACATATTTTTCAGAATTTCGAAGTTACAACTTTTCAGACAACTAATTGTCGTGATTGACTATACAGACATGATAGAAACGATCTTCCTTTCTTTTTATCGTTTGCAACGATCCTGTAAATTATATGTTTTTTTCTGCAATGTCTTTAATAATTGTGATAATCCGGTATCGGAGCAAGTTGGTCAGCAACTCGAGATAAGGAAGCAAATAGTAACTTCAGGGTTTTTGCGAGAGGTTTTCATTACCTTGCAAATCCTTAAATAGTGGCTGTCTTTATCTCACCCATCCATATGCTCAATCATTTTACGAACGAAAATTGCTTTTATTACTTTGTCATACACTTGTAGAATTTTAACTAATATATAACGCGTCGCTTAAGTTTATTCACTCACAATGGAGAATACTAATATCAAATTTTGAGATGTGAAAATGTATTCGACTGCTATTAAATAAATTTTTTCTACTTTTTAATTGTAATATTATATCGACTTTGATTAAACTCGAGGAAAATTATCTACTCTTAAAAGGAACTTTTTGCGATTACGTTTTCACTATTAATTTCGCAATAAATTCGTAAACAAAGCACATCGTCAATATATCCCTGTGGGCCAACCAGATTCCCGGTCTCCTCTGTATGAATAGCATAATTGATTGTATTTGCAAGATTGGTTTAGCAACCAATAATTTGCCAATGAAACAAGGTAAAAGGTACACATATATCTCGAATTACATTTATTTATCGTACCTTTAGTAATTCAATTATCAATATTTATTATTATTCAATTAAGCGTTTGTATAATCATTGAAAATCAGTGTGGTGCATTGTTTTGTCACTCGGCACGGTTTTGTCAAAAAGATTGTGGCGAATGATTCGTGACGCCTCTTAACCCTACATCGCAAATGTTAGTTATTTTTACCTACACTTTGAGTATTTGTACCTCGTCAACTTGCTGTTATTTAATAAAGCGTATTTTTGCAATTGTTATTATTTTATTTTCTTTTAGTAGAAAAATTATTAGAAATGTTGAGGCAAATTACGCGCGAGAAAACAATTAAGGAAGCCAAAATGATTCTACGTTGGCAACAACGGATTAATTGTTGTTATTGGCAATCTATGATTAAAGTATCAACCTATTACACTCTAAACTCGAACTCAATTGTGGTTTTGAGAGAATTCTGTGGTATTCCCCACATATGTCAACTCGGCTGGCGCGGTGACGATAAAATCATATGAATTCAATCAATATTCCAGCCTATAACCGTTGATAAACGAATTCTATTCACTCTGTGTGCCAATATTTGTGAATGAACTGTCGCGCGAAGACCCGCGAGGTGCAGAAGTTCGAGCGTCGAAGTCTGTCCAACGTGAGACGCGCAAAGTGACATCGGGAGGACGCGCCGCTCTCCTCGTCGAAATGATGAGCAAACAGAGCGATTCCAGATTTCGTCGTCGTTGCTTGCGTAATACTGGTGGCTTTATGCTCACGCTAAAAGGACCAAAACTCGTTCGGCGTTTCATGCGTCTCTATCCTGCTCGACGCTGCTTTGATGTAAAAAGACGGTAAAATGTGCAGTTTCGCGAATGGCGACTGATGCGGCTTGACGTGATGCGCCACGTGAAGCTGCGTTTCGCGTTTAGCAAATTACGCCGGGATTGCCTCGTACGCGAGTATACGTTTCAAGCGAGGCTGCCCCGTTCAGGCCTCCACGAAGATTACGAAGTACGCGCCAGTGGAAATGGCCGGTTATCGCGCGGGAAATGGTCAATTATTCCGAACGAGACTGCGCGTCCTTTGCAGAAGCGGCTGTGATTTTGCGCCGCGGATAAAGATAGAAACAACTACGCGTTCCGAGAAGAGCAGCAGAGGTGGGTGAAATTTTTAGATCCAACAGAACTTGGACCTTTTAAGAAGCGGAGCAAATTGCGAAACGCAAAGGCGAAGATAGTGCAACGGGAAAAGGAGAAAAAGTAGAAGAGAAAAACGCGATCATTTCCGCTTCGCAATTTCCCAACGCGTTAGCTTCAAAGTTGCTCAATTAATTCTAGCTCTTAACGCTAGAACCGCTTCCATTATCAACGAGATAAGACGGACTGCGCGAGATATTACGGGAGATTCTCACTCGCTCTCTATATTTAGGCGAATGCGTGCGCGTGCGCTCGGGCATCCGGAGCTATCGGAATTCCGGAACCACGTGTAATGCGTGTGCACCGCAATCGTCGGAACGAATTCGCGCGTATTGAACGTGCGGGACGCGTGCCGCTGGAGAAACTTTATCAGGTGTGGTATGCTCGTATCACGTGTCAGTGGAAGCGGGACGATATCTATCCGATTAGTAGTTCATCCCGTGATCCTGATCAGGTAAATCTGTTATTTAGTTTGTATCAGGCGGTTGTATTGGGTATTAATAGATAAACATTTTCTTTGACTAAATTGATTCGGCGAATCAATGACCAAAACTAATTAATGTATAAAATGACAAATAATTTCATCGTTCGGTGATATTAATTATTAATCAGTATATAATCCATCGCATCAGAGTTTGATTAATTATTGATTTTATCAATCGACAAAATTATTTGTAATTTTGTATATGACGGCTGATTCATTTTCGTTATTGATCTGCCGATTACTGTAGTCAGAGAAAATTTTAATTATTCTATGCCCAATACTGTCTTGTATAAAGTACATAACTGATTGAGATTAACCTGATCAGGACAATGCACACGAAAAATGCATTCAAGTAAATGTTACTTGTTTCGAGTGTTTCATAAGTATTTCATATGTTCATACGTCCGCCAATTTATCATAACGTCGTCACAAATGTTAAATTTATTCAAAATACATTTTGAATCCTAGTAAGTTTAATATTTCAATGAAGAATATTAAATTGAAACAAAAATTCGATTTGCTTGTTAGATAAACTATTTGGATCAAGATTTTCTTCGATAAAGTTTTATAATATTCTTGTAAAAAGAATAAATTCTTCTCTTGAGTACATGACAATATGCTTTTCTCAAACTTGTGATGAGTACAATTTAAGATTGTTATCAAGAGAATACTCTTTCGTGAAAATTACCTTCACTTAAAAGATGGAAAGTAAACCGAGTGTTCGCTTTCCTCAGCAGAAGAGTAACATTTTTCTACCTGTGGGATAAATTTATAGTGATGTATACGCGTCGCCTGTGTCTCACGACAGTCCCATTGTATCGCGCGTGACAGTCCCATTATATTCGCGGTGTATCACAATGATATCTGTCGGTGAAAACAGATACAGAGACGACAGAGAAGTTGGAGCGATACGTATTTAAATGAGGAGAGCGCTTACGTCACGCGGACGCGTCGCGATGTAGTTCGATCGCGCGCGGGCAAACGCGCGCTGCACAGTGTTTAAATTGGAGAAAGGGCCGAGTTAAAGAGATAACCGTATGCCCATTTCCAGAGCGGGTATATATACATGACATATGCATACGTGTCGGGCCGATGTTGCGAGACATACATATATTTGCTCGTGGTCAGCGAGTAGGTTTGTCCCGTGTGCTCATTACGCGAGCGTGCTCGCGCGGCTTTGACATAAACGCGGCCCTCTGTAAATATGCATATACTTCGAGTCTCGGACAATCCGCGCCGGAGTCCCGGCCGGAGGAAAAGCTAGGTATAACGCATGCCACATTTAATTACACAACAATGACGTTTTTAATTCACGCTCAGGGTACTCGCCCGGATTCAGAGAAAAATATTTGTGTTTCTCGTGCAAAATCCACGAATAGACAAGTCGACGTCATCTGCGCCTAGCTTCTGCAACTAGCGCGAGGCGTAATGAATTCGACGATCGCGATCGTGAGATTTTGCACAGAGAACTCCAATAATGCCTTCCACTTCTGGTTAGAGTATTTCGGATTAAATATAATTGAATGCATATATGCATATGTACATTATTATTATTGCATTTAATGTTATGACAGTTGCTTGTGACTGAGTTGCACTAAAAAATATTTTGTTGGTCCAGATATAATTCTAAATGTCTTAGTTAAAATCTATTGATTTTTGTATCCGCTAGGTAATTGTCTGTGGTACGTAGAATTTACATTAGTAACATTCTAGCAATATCTAGGTAAATGTAGATAAATGTAGACCTTGTTACTAATTATTAATCTGGGTGACTGCCAAAGAGAGATTTTTTTGCTAGATTTTGTAAACAGTGTTCATATATAAGTTCTGTTTGTAATTTATGTCGATTGTATACATAATATATGCGATATCGCGCGGGATTTGTTAGTCACTTATTCATCTTAGCTAATTTCTTATGTATAGATAAATTTCATTATGACTGCAAGACTATTTCTTTGAGTGCGCCGATTCTTCTCAAAATCAACGACCATGATGTAGAAATATATAAACATGCTGCGCCCGATCCGAAATACTCTAATCGGAGGCGGAAAGCATTGTTGGAGTTTACCGGTGAAACATTATGTTACGTTCCGTAAGGCCACACGTACCTTTAATCGGAATGCATTGCGTAAAAACTGATTACCTATCCGACCAGGTTACAGTACACAAAAGAATAGATAGTACACAAAAGAAATAGGTCGTGAGTCTTCACGTGAGTCATGAAAACATGTCATCTACATGTTCACATATCGCCTGACCGAACATTTTCCAAATTTTTCTTTTTTCCCACCAATCCGAGCCTCATCCTTGTTACTAAGCACGTAATCTCCAACGAATCCGGTAACCGCCATCCCCAAAATTTTCTATTTTCCGAAATTATAAAAGTCCGACCCGTATGACTTTTAGTCAGTATTGTATCAGTTTAGGTCAGTATTAGAAAGAGTGTCAGAAAGAGTATCAGAAAGAGTGTCACAAAGAGTATCAGAAAGAGTATCAGTACGAGATTTAACCAGTTTTAATATCAGATCAGTATTAGATCACTACAAGTAAGAGTATCAGTACGAGATCACTACCAGTTTTAATATCAGATCAGTATTAGATCACTACAAGTAAGAGTATCAGTACGAGATCACTACCAGTTTTAATATCAGATCAGTATTAGATCACTACAAGTAAGAGTATCAGTAAGAGTATCAATACGAGCACCAGTACCAGATTAGTATCGGTATGAGTACCAGTACCAGTACCAACCGGACGGGAACCACGATCTTAGAAGACTTAGAAAGACCCATTTTTTTTCTTCGTACAGATCAACAGTAAGTAATTGTTTTATTATCCGGTTTTCCGCGTCTCAATTTCATATAAATCCGGACAGACATATTTTAACTTTGTATCGAAAACCCTCAATCGCAATAATTCCGGTGGACATTAATTGTATGTCCCTTCCTTCGCTTTAGTGGGTCGTCGATCTTGTCATCAAAGCAGCGATCTGCACGACGCTCTCCAAACGCTGAGGTTACTGTCTTTGGCCTCCGATTCTCTTTCACGCGAAGTCCTACACCGGAAAATTTATAGAGAGTTCGCACGATATTTAGAATTAGAAGATCTACCCCCTTTCCCTCTCCACTTAATGCCACTTACAGATCTGCACCCTCTTCCACCGCCTCCATCTTCTCCTCCATCTCTTCGTCTATCTTATTCTTCGCCCCCTTCACTCTCCAATAATCCTGAAGACTAACTCTCACCCTCACCCTATACACTCACGCGCATACCACACACACACGCACACATCGTATTAAAATTGTAGTTATAAGTAAATCATATTTTTTCCTTTTGTAAATAAATTTAATTTCTTTCTTAACCCGTCCTCTCCCATTATCGCTCGAGGTCCAGTCCCGAGTAAAGAGATTTATATCTCTGACTCAAAATCGGACCGCTCGCCGTACGTCGTTGCGCTAGTAAAGTGACCCTTCCGGTCGCTGACTCGCTCTTCGACCTACAAGTACAAGCGAGGCTTTCATTACGTTGCGTTCTCCTGCAGAATGTAACAATTACATGTGCGCGCTATTTAGCTTCCTGTGATGAGTAAACCATAACTGAAAAGACACACACATACACACACCTTATGTACAGAAACCTGACTTCAATATCTGCTCGACTATTGGGGGAAATTATTTAAACCAGTATTACTGTGCTCGAGGTATATCAATCGTGCGCGCGCGATCGCGCGCAACTCCAATTTTAATCGACGGCGGGAATAATAGTGAGAGGCTGATCAGCGTCATTCGGCCTGACGGGATGACAAATAGGAGAAAGAGTGAGAGGACAAGAGTGCGAAACGAGAAGCGAACGAGAAAGGAGGGCCGCAGTAGCGCGACGTGGACACGTGGAGAAAAGTTTGTACACACAGAGAGCCGGCGGCTTACACCGTATGACGCGACGACGATGACGACGACGGCCGTGTATGTGTCCCAGCCGGCTGTGCTCTCGCTTCTGGCTCTATCGATTTAGGACGACTCTACGTAACACAACCCGTCGGTTCGTACACACAACGACGGCCCCTTCCGTATTATGCCCACCGGAGTTATTACGCAGTCGCAGAGAGCACTCTCTCAGGACCCGTGGATCCTGACGCCTAACCGCCGCTTCTCCCCGCGAGCCTCTCTACGCTCGCTCTATCTTCATTTTTCCTCACTTTCCTGCGAACCGCCGTGCGGCGAAGTTTACCGTGCGCACGGTTGGGCGGAAGTAGCGAAACGTGATTACACGAAGACGAGAATTTCGCAAGTCACCCCGACGAGTTGGGCAAACACCTGAAGATTAAGGGTGAAGATTGGCGACGCCCACCGGGAAATTAATAATTTCTATCTATTTGTGCGGAACAGCGAGCAGCTTGAGCAATACTTGATGAATAGCGATTTTAAATCGTTAATTAGACTAATTAGAATTGCAAAGTCATCTTAATGCGTTGAATGCCGTGAAAATCACCGGTGACAAGTACTGTGTGACACTGCTGAGTCTCATTAAGATGCGTGCAGAGTATAATTATCTTTCCTTGACGCGCGTATTAGATTCTGCGGCAATGTCCGGCATTAATTGATGAGAATTTTCTCTGACTAAAATAATCGGCAAATCAATCAAAATTAATCCATCATCATAAATGTAATTATGAATAATTTAATTGGTTACTGAAATTAATTATTAATTAGCATATAATCAATCACATTAAAATTTGATTGATAATTGACTTCACTAATAGATAAAGTAATTTGTGATTTTACATATCTTATACGTGACGATTGATTAATTTTTATCATTGATTTGCGCCGATTGTTTTAGTCAAGAGAACATTTTAATCGATTAATGTCAAAACACCGCACCCACACGTCTCTAACGTCAATAATACGTCATTAATACATCATCCTGCCACTTGAAAATATTTTAAACTGATATGGAAATATATAATGTTGTTATCTTTAATAAAGGAAACGATAATTACAGAATAATTACAAAAATCTAAATTTTTGTATACAAAAAAGTCAAAAAAGTACTTTAAAAAGTCAAAATGATGTATTTGTATTCATGTAAATATGATGTAAAATGATAATGTAATATGATAATGATAATGATAATGTAATATGATGTTAAAATATAAATACGCTGTTATCGTACGTATCATAACCAAACAGTATACGTGTCTGAAATGCGTCTCTAGATATTTTAAAGATATCTGAAAAAATAGGACATTTTTCAGACGTCTCTAAGATATCTTTTAGATATTCACGCTGTATGGATACGTTTTATGCGAAAAATAGAGATATTAACGTATTTCTAAGTTTCAGTGACATTTTTCAAGGACTGCGTATAGGCAAGGCGCCTTTAAAAACTTGTAAGGCCAATAGAGAGTCGACGAGACGAAGTAAGAGTTATAGGCGCTTCGAATTGCATTTATTTACCGTATCCTTGGCGTAATGCAATAATCGGTTAATCATCTTGTTATATGATCAACGGAAATCGACGCGAATCGGTTTGCGTGTTAATCGGCGGGCGACGCGTACGACTCGAACGAGAGATAAAGCCGTTGTGTCATGCATCGCGTTTTCGCGTTGCACGATAATAATAATAACGTCGGCGACTCGCCCCCGTAACCTAACTGTAATGAACCGTAATGAGAATTAATCATCCGTGGCTCTCTGTGCACGAGCAATTCTTATTAGAGGCCGCGAAGTTGCGCTCGCGATTACGCGAGAGAAGGCCAACCTCGACTCCGTGAGAGCGCGATGAAACACGCGCCGCGCGGATGGCACGAAAGTACGCGAAACTGTCCTTGACGAAATCGCGTTTATCGATTTTTCCCGAGACATCTTATTCGGCCGGGCAAGAGGACGAGGACGACGAGGAGGATGAGGAGGAGCAGGAGGAAGCAAATCGCGTTCTTGAACGCCTGCAAAATTCGCTTCTTCCGCGACGTCGGTCGATGAACTTAAATCGCTGCCACGACACGCACATTATGCGCAGCTGGCGTCATTAATATTATAATATAAGCGTTAGTCGTGTACACAGAGTACACCTCAGGAGGTGAAACAGCGTTTTTCGCAGGATTTTGAAGCGTTCTCACTCCGATAGATCGAAGCTGGTATTCTTAACTATACTTCTATATATCTCAGAAAATATAATCTTATTTTTAGCGAATATTTTCTGATTCACGGCCTCAAGAGGATTCCACGAAAATTAAAAGAAAAGTATTCCAACACCTCAAAACAGAAGGAACTCGAGTTGCAAATGCTATTTCCTGTAATCTCATATTCTAAGCGAGATTCTTATAAAAATGTATTTCTCTCCTACTAAGTGAATTATTAGACGGAAATCTACTACGTGTTATTTTAATTGTTTCCCTTTTGAATCAAAAGAGCAATGTATATTCATTTGAAGCAGAATGCTCTCTTACCAGAAGAAATTTCTATTAAGAATATGATTTGTACTGCAGATAAAAAACGAAATTCTTCCAACTTTGAGAAAATGTGCTTGGAAAAATTTTCCTTTTGGTTTTGCGACGAATCTTTTTGAGGCGATATATAAGAGAGGATTCTGATATAAAGATAATATTATATATTTTCGGCTGCACAAAATTAAAAAGACTAACGGGAGTTTGAAATTAATTCCGGTCGAATAGTTCGCGATGAATGATCTTATATGTGCACAATTTCAAGCGAAATTTCACGAGAAATTTAGTTATTCACTTTGCCTATTACTGAGAAGGTTGCAAAAGAAGAAATGATTGATAGAAATTTCCATCCCCTTCCGGAGCGGTACAACTATGTCGTGAGTTATGCAAGTGACAGGACATTACTCTTCGCTTTCGGCCATCGGCCGCCGTCAGACAATCTACGCGAATTGATTATCAAATTACCTCGCCGTCCGGGAGAAGTTCTCGGGCCATATAATCATCTTCTCGATCTCCGATCACGCGAAACTACCCTCGAACGTTGCTCGGACGTTCCGCGCAAAGAGGAAGGAGTCATGCGGATTGCGCCCGCATGTACATGTCCGTATGTAATCCTCCTCGTGTACGCACATATGTGCGGTTATGATCCTTTGATAATAACGAAATAACGAACACGAAGGACGAGGCGGAGGTGTGCAGCGCGCGTGATGCCCACGCGAAGCCGATGAGTTATAATTAACCGATTCAGCACGCTCACGTACGCCATCATCTGACGAAAATCGCATAGTGCGAAGCCGAACAGTGGATTTCGCACATCGTCCTCACCGCATAATAACGTTACGTAAATCGAGCTTACAGACGAGCGCTCCTCGTCGAGACGGATCGTGGTAGTCGGCGAGAATGAGAATCCTCGGGTCGACACGGCGATCCGAGTCTAATTACGCGCCCAGCGAAATAATTATAACGGCCTGACGGGTGTCTGTCCGGATTGAATTTGTTGCTGAGGAGCAAACGAGACTCGGGAAGAATAACGGGAGCGACTGTTGTCGTCGCTTCGCGACTCCAAGTCGAAAACGAAGTCGCTGCGAGCCGTAAATCCGAGAGATTACTTGAACGAATTCCTCTCCTCCTTCCTTTTATTCGAAGGAAATAAACCAATTTTTTTCCACCGATGGCCGGGGCGTGTGCGTTATTATTAGCGCGGGTGTCGTAATGGTCGGAAGCGTCGGCCAAGTTGACGTCAAAGTCAGATAATGTCTTACGCGATAGCGATCGAACGTCGTTCAATTATCAATGGATTACATCATGCGCAGCCTGTTGCCGTGGCTAATGTCACACAAGGACATGCGCGAGTTCGTGTTTCTATGGTTCAGCATTCAAAAATACGTCACGGGGCCGACGGTCGCGTCGTGAGAGAGAGAAAAGTATGACACAGTGGAAGAGATCAAGATCATAACTATCAAGGTCGTCTAACTCGTTAACGCGTCGAGGATGCGTATGTTTCGAATGACCAAGCGACCCAGCACTTGGATCTGTATCAATGATTGTCACTTGAGACTTGCCTCATGGGAGATTTTTATTCAGAGTCGGATCCAAGCTTCCCCATCGAATTATGATGAATGTGACATTTATGGGCCGTAATAGTAGTAACTTGAAACTACTCTCAAGTGAGAGACTACTTAGATTTGAGTTCAAAGTTAGATGTGAGTTTTTGAGACAGCTGAATATATCATGTGATTCAACTGTGAAAATTTTGGGTCTGACTCTGAATAAAAATCTGAGTATCTCATGTGAGACAAGTTTCAAGTAACAACTATTAATATGAGGCTATCTCCAATCGTGCAATTCGATTGAAAAACTCTCATCTAACTCAGAATTCGTATCTTCAGACAAGTTTCAAATAATAACTACTAATATGGTGATATTAGACCGATATTAAATTAATTTGTTTCCAACATTTTGTAGACTTTCACTTTATTTCATCAAGGAGTAGAATAATCTGATGTCCATTGCTCCTCTCTCCAATGAAATGAACTGAAATGTTTATGAGACGTTAGAGAAAAAACGCAACGCATTTCCCAATTCGGTAGCCAGATCCAGCATTTCTCAACAACACGAAAGCCTCAAATATCGGAAGAAAAATTCTTTCCCGTCGTCGTCTGTAATTGTTTCCGTTGTTTTTCACCACCTTCTGTTACTTTCACGTCGACAATGCGAGCAATAAGCACATCGGAAACTACCATGAAATGAATACTATGCGCTGCTCCGTGGGATAGGGAGAAGGAGGGAGGAGGAAGAGTGATAAAGTATCCGGGAAATTTGCATGCAATTTCGCATCTGTCAAAACTGGCTTTTAGAAGCGCATCCTGTTCGCGTTTCAACGCGTCCCTTGCCTTTCTGCTCGTTTTCCTGAACGCTTCGAGTTCTCGAGAATTTTCCTCTTAATCGGACGTCGGATTTACGGCGAGCCTGCTGCCTAACGAGATAAACGTCGCTAGAAACGCGGATACGCAAGACGCTTTAATAAATAATCGACCGGGACACGCTAGATACACGTCCCGCCTCGACTACCTTTGGAATTTATGGCCGGATTTTAAAAGAGATTGCTACTGTTTGCGCACTAATGAATTTAAGGCGGCTGCTTTCGCTTCTTTTACGCTAATTAATGGACAGCAGCGAGCACGAGTTAGCCGGTCGTCGGCAAACCAGCTGCTTCCATAAAATATTATACGGGATGTCTCCGAAGCATTGAATGTACCTCCGACTGCGGTTTCCCTCGAGCCAGTCTGAGGACAATATTTCCTTGATGAAACCATGGATGAACACTATCTATCTTTCCCAATTTTTCACGTTTTACGTTCCTCGCGAAGAAGCTTCTTCTCTCTTCTTTTTCGCTCTTTATGCTCAATCATTGAGCACTCGAGAAGCAAAAGCACTTCGACGTCTTCATCGTGGAGAAATCGATTTCGAGTCGGTCCGTGAGAATTTGTATGTATGTATGTGTACTTGATTGTGAGCAAAATGGCTCAGACACATTGAAGTTGAGAGCGCAGCGAACTGTCACGATTGAGACTCACTACCGACAGACTTGCGTAGTGATCGATTATGACAGGAGCGGAAGTGTACTTTAAACGCGAGATTTTCCAATTCTTCGAACGCCGATATTACAATGGTTAAATCTGGGATACTATCGAATGTATTAGCATTTTGTCACGTTATCTAGATCAAATCTGGGATACTATCGAATGTATTAGCATTTTGTCACGTTATCTAGATCAAATTTATTTTTATTTTGTATTGTTACTTCGGTTGAACTTCTGCTGACTTTCCATTGTACACTAAGAGGAAAATTTATTAATTTCACGCAAATTATAGTCCTTTCCAGCGTCAATTATTTCTCCCTATGGTTCTAACAAAAAATAATAGTATCAATACGTATGTAAGGTTATCATCATTGACATTACAGTAACGCCTATTAAAAAAATGGTTCCGATTATATGGTTGTTCCTTTTGCTGTGCGATTATAGTTGCAAACACTAATTCGGAGAGAAAAAGTTTGATTGAGGTTAACGACTTTCTGTTGAAATATGAGATTTGGAAATTCCGATTAAAACTGCCAGAATTGTCCTTAAGTTGATCAGAAATCCTGATAATTTCAACTGAATTCTGGTGACTTTGATTAGAATTTCGGAATCGTCCACCAGAAATTGGTTAATCCAACCAAACCATTTTTCCGCGCAAATACTTTTTATTTACTCTCAGTGTGTAGCGGTTAACGGTGTGTAACGGTTTGCTGCGCTTTCCGACTTTGTGCTTAAGCGATTTTGCGACCAAGCATATAAGCGATAGAAAGAACATCTAATGGCTTCGGAACGTGCAGTGGATACACGGAATCCGCGATTGTTAAAACAGACCTTGACCCACTGAGGTCATCGTGTATACACCGGAAGGTTAAGCGCGATTGCGGTAACACATGGATCGCAGTTAGACCGGCTTACACCTGCACGACACACTTTGGAAAAATACGTCGATACATCCTCACCCCCACGTGTGGACGACACATCGCGTATTTCCGCGAAATATCGCATAAAGCTCCCGTTAGATGCCTACTCGTGGGCGCGGGCGTGCCCGGCAGCGCAACTATTTGCGCCCGAATTGCTGAGGAGACTAGACGCGGAAACCCATCAGCGAAGTGCTCGCGCGAGTGCGAGAAAATGTAACGAAATTTTCCGCGCAATTTAGCGCATTTTGTCGCGCGCGAGCTGGAGCGCGAAGTCCTTCTTCAGCGAAAAGCTCGCTACACCCTTACCCGCGTTAACCTTTCGAATAACGACATATTGACGCATTTCCTCAGGGAAGTAACCCATTTGACGTGCCTTCGCGAGTTCTGAATTATTAAATGTGCCTCCCTTGTTTACCCTTTCGCTACTAATTTTGTTTTTTAAAGATACAATCTCTTTTTTTACTTTCACTTCATTAAGTACATTAATATAATATAGTGCTAGCCAAAAAATCAAAAATTACATGCCATCAAAACTTTGGCGCCAAGATATTAGTGTCTCATTGAGATTTTTGGAAGGGCATTTTTGTCCTGACGGTAATAAGGAGAATAGTAGCTGACGCGTTCTAAATGCCAAGAAAGCTGTTTATTCAGCTGAATAAGATTATTATTAAAGGTAAGAAAAACATATATCCTGTTAGTAGCGAAAAAATAGCAAAAAGCGACAAAATAACAGCCCTTTTATATTCAACTTTGACTTTTGTCCGACTTTAGTTTGTATGTTCCATTTAGCAACATATATGTGTGTGTGTATGTATGTGTCATACGTACGTAATGATGCGAGTGTGTGTGGGCGTGACTGTGTGTGTGTACAATGTAGGTATACACGTGGTGCGTTACGTGTATAAAGCGAACTCTTTTCTAAAGGAAACCCGTATTCACATTGTACCTTTTGCGGAATCCGTGGAGAATAAAGAGCACTTTGCGGAATCATTATTTTATCCACGAAGTCACTTAGTAATTCTACGTTTCGCCCTTTGTATTTTATAATTGCCTCGCTGTAAAAGGCAGCCAAAAATGGGACCACTATACGCAAAATTCGCAAAGCAAGGGTGCAAATTTTTGCGCGAAATCACTTCGCGCGATTACTAAGAAATGGCTCCCGTTGAAACGTATGTTTGTTCGCTCTGTGTACGTGTGTTTATTCTCACTCGAGTTAAAAGCAACAGATCGTATTTACCCCTAACAAATAACTCTTATTGATCATACCGCGAAAAATAAAAATAAACGTGCTCGTTGCAGTACGACGGAAAGGATCAGAAAGAGTGACATGCGGCTCGCATGTGTGAGGAGAGATGTGCGTAACTAACAGGCGTTTGCGGCAGCAGCAGCAACAGCAGCAACAATCGTTAGCGATAATCGAGAGGATGACGTGAGATCCACGTTTAGAATCACGTAGGATTGGCTTACACGATGTCGGCTAGCGACGACGGTATTCCTAGACTGCGGTCAGGGAGACGCTATTTAGCACTATGAGCGTCCTTTGTCCTTGTTCAACTTTCAGGAACAAACAAGGACAGAGCACACTCATAGCGGTAAATAGCGTCTCCCCGAACGCAGCCCTAATAGTAATGTCGGATTTCCGTCGTAATACTAACCGCAATAGCCGGTGCTATTGACGTCGCGCGTTCAACGAAATTAAAGCGAAATTAAAAGGAACAAGAGAAGTCCCCTTGCGTGAAACGTTGTTTTCCGAAATATCCTTCTGGTTTTCGCGCACCGTAATTATCGCGACTTGGGGGAGACACGCTCTCGTCAGCACGCGCGCCTCCGTTACAATAGCAAATTTCCCGTTTTGTTATTGTTTACATAGAGTCGATGTACGATTATACTTGAGAGAGAAAAGATGTTCAGTGTACGACAGATGTGTACCTCACGTACCGGTACAGAGGGTGAGTAACCTAACGTTGATTCTAAAATATCTCGAATGTGTTTTATATTAGGAGAAAACGTGTGAAGAATAAATTGTGTGGTTGGAGAGGTCGGCTCTCTAATCACAATATTTATCTCTTCCGATCATACAGAGTTTATTTCTCTCTCTCTCTCTCTCTCTCTCTTACATATTTCCCTTTAATATAAAAAACAATAAAGATATTTTAGAGTCTAACATTAAGTGACCCGCCCTGTATTCTCACAAGAATCAGGATTGAGAAGCTACGAATTTTAAAATCGTCACGTTGAGCCCGTGTCGAATTAAATACTACAGATTGAGGATTGTTAATTAGAGATTAAAATTCGACGAATCGACTGATTCTTGTATCTCCACTCGCTTTGTTCCGATTGGTCAAATCTCAATTTTCGATCGCCAATGCTCAATCTCCAATACCTACTCTGATACGGACCAAACCTGACGCGTACCCGATCTAATACGGTTCCCAAAGTGTCCCGTGAAGATTGGAAAGGGTTAAAAAGGACCTCAGAGGACTTTCGTTTCGTCGAGATCGGCGCTGCGTGCACGATCCAAGTTCGCGAACTCGCGGTGCGTTAACATTAAAACAATATAGAAGGAAGGAAACCGGAGTCGGGGTCAATTAGCAGCACTTGGCCGTCGCGACCACGACCGCGACGCTGTTGGTGCAACAGATCCATCAACCGACGCGATCTACGCGTACACGTGGATGTCCCGCCTGCCCCTCCTGTTCCCCCACGTCTCGATCCACGCGAGAGCGCGAGCAAGAGCGGCGCGACGCACGCGGTCGGGTGATCCTCTCATCGCGAACTTTTTCGCGACGCTTTTACTTACTCGCTATGTCCGGCGAGAGTGATGATCCTTCCGGAGCAGCCTCTCTCTTCTTCTTCGCGTTTCCCTTCTCTAACCTAGAGTGGTTACTCGCGGGAGAGAAAGAGAACGTTCTTCGCCGTCGAAGATGCCGATACGCTGAGGGTAATCGACGAGAGGACCGGCCAACTGCTCTGCCTCCTCACGCTGGAGAACGCGACGCAACGTCGACTGAGACACGAGCTGGTCGTGATGCGCGCTCTTCGTCGTCGTGGGGTGGTTTGGGGCGAGAGTTTTCGCGGCATCGTCCACTACGAGGACGCTTGTCTCTACGTACGCATGATCCAACCCTCCCTCTCTTTCTCTCTATCTGTGTCTCTCTCCCTCCCTCTTTGTCTCTCCCTCTCTCTCTCTCTTTTTCTCCCCCAAGACGCTAGCCACCCTTTGCCTCGCTTTCTGTGAGCTCGGTAAGCGGAGCCGATGAATGAAGGCCGACGATCGACCGTCACCACCCGCGTCGCTCGGTCGACTGACTGTCCTGGATTGCCCTCCCCGCGGACTCGGTGATTTTATTCCATCCCCACCAGAGACGCCCTCTCTGCCCCCGCTTTGCCCGACGCACCCCACTCGTGACACCCACTCGCGATCCGAAGTCGACGTGGGTGCTCGGGGGTGCGTGAACGTCGATGGTGATCGCAAGCCGACCGAGCCTTAGTCGTTGACCATGTAATTGACAGTTGACCCGTATCGCCTGAGATCAATTAAAGGTTTCCGTGACGATAATAATCGGCTTGGAAAAAAAGGCGTTTTCGGGATAATTTTATCGCGTGCGTGATCGACGACCATGTCGTGATTAAGCCGACTCAAAGATCGAAATCTTGATCGAAAGATTGAAGCTTCGATGAAGGGTCGTAGTGTCAGATTTCGGTATGACGGTGATTACCGTATACTGAGAAAAAATGTTTGGCATATTTGTAACTGTAACCGCATGAAGAAATAACAAATCATGACCAAGAAAATTCTTTTTCATTAAATTCTATTATAATGCTAGTGATAATAACTTTATGTGCATGTTACTACAAAAAATATGATTGAGGCTGAAAATAACGAATTTTAGTTTAACTATTTTATTTTCTCAGTATAAAATCGTTCGCGCATGTGTGACCTTGCATCTAATTGACTTTATTCTAAGAGGACACTTCGCTGTTTGCATAATTTTATCGAGTTGTTAAGAGTGTTTCCGAAAAGGTCATTTGACACACATAGAAAAATGCCATTTCACTGAGTAAAGCGATTACTTGGTTTACTTTGCTTTTTTTTTAAGTAATGTAATTATCTTCAATAATCAATATTTTCTCGCGATAACAGTCTTCAAATATACTCATCGCAAATTTGAGAAAAGTTCATTATTATGTACTCATAAAAAGATTGTATTCTCTTTACAAGAGAATATTATAAAACTTTATTGAAGAAAAAGTTGGCTCGTAGTAGGCGGGCTATGTGAATCTTTATTTTCAGTGAGTATTCTTGATTAAAATTAAAAACTTTCTAGAATTCAAAATGTATTTTGCGTAAATTTGATGTTTATGTAATAAACTTATGACAGATTTGTGGATATGTGTGAAACTCCCGAAATTCTTGAAACAAGTGGCATTTATCTGAATGCAATACGTATTTTTCTATGTGCACACACTTGCTTGAAAACAAAATACGCGATTCTTAGTTAGAAGGATACTATTCTTAGTGTAAAAAATTGCGAGCTTGAAATCCCTCTCAATTACTTCAACTCTTTTATGTAACTAATGACCGTAGTCGATTTAAGTACTTAAGTACCCGCGCCACAAACAGGTTCTCATCGTCCACAGAGAAGCGAGAGCACCTTCACCCTCAAGTTCACTCAAGGTCAAGAGTCTAATCTCGTTAAAGTCGTTGGCATTTTAAATAACGTCCCTTTTCGCGTCGCAGATACCTCCAGATAGTCTCATCAGTTAACGGACTCGCCAATTAGCTTGTGTCGCTTCTAAAGACACATCAACCGACTAATGCGACTGCTTTTTGACCTTAATCCAATTTTAATTGTCTCGATAATCCCCGGGACACGCCGACCCGATGATTCCGATGACGTAAGTGCGTTAATTGCGGCCGGCCCGATCGACAGTTATCCGAAGTTCGCGCGCAGGACTACGTGCCGCGAGACGCCCGCGCAGGACTTTCTCGGCGCGAGGACGACGGAGGCGTCGGGTCGCGCGCGTCTTCAAGTTTACGTTCAAGGTTGCGAGCGGTGAACAGAGCGTGCCGCGGCGGCGTGCTTGCGTCATACACATCGATTCGCGGGGCCGTTCGTTGACCCACCTAATTCCGTACGATCGTGAGAGCCACGTCGCTGCTTTCGTGCCGGCTGATACACCCACTCGCGGATATTCCCCCGACGGCAGCTCCGCCGCCGGACGTCGCTAATCCCTTCGCGGTGGTTATCGGGGAACGCGCTACGTCCGAAAAAGCCGCCCTTAACGCTCACCCCGTTTGCCTCCGGGGCCGCTCGTCCTTCCGTCTCTTCCCTCTCGTGGCCCGAAAGTTCAACGCGATTGACCGGTCATCGCGGCGGCCACCGTCGTCACAGTCCACGTCGCTTTCCACTTTCCCGGATCTATCGATCGCCACTTCTGGCCCCGCGCTCTCGGGAGGCTCGTCGCCGGTGGCGGCCGGATGGGACAACCCGTTTAATCGCGCGCGGATTTACCGCCGCGAAACTCCGCGAAAGTCCGTCTCTAATTAAAAAGTTCCGCCGGGCACATTAACGATTCGCCTCCACCACTCAACCAGTCGCGCCGCGGATCGGCAAAAGTTTCGCTCGCATCTAGCGCGAACCGGCATGTCTGCACGTGTTCACCTGCTGAGTTTGCTAGTTTCGCCAGCTAATGGTAATTACGTCACGATGATATTTACAGCTTAATAACAACACTTTTCGCGTTCGTTCCCGCGGAAATGCGTCTTCGCGACTACTAACAACGTGCGTTCGCGTTATTGATGACACTCGCGAAACAAATTTACGATAAGATGCCTATGACTGATCTTTGCCTGAAATAGGTTTTTTGTACAGTGGGTTGCAAAACGGTTTGGACACAATGAAATTGGAAGCTCACTGGAAAACTGGCAAAATTGAAACTCATTACTGATGGACCTGCCTAGTAATTGTATTATTATTATTATTTGATTATTATTAGTGCTATTGTCATTTATTATTATATAATTCCGTAAAAAATTACTCAGTTTTGGCAGTTCTTTATGAGCTCTCAACTTCATTGTGTCGAAACTATTTTGCAACCCACTGTACATACACAGACCGACGTAAGAGCATCCAGTGGTATAATTAACATCCAATGACGCGACAGTGACTAGGATTTTTCAGTCACTCGCACCGTGTCGAGATATATTCATGCATCATGACTATTAATTCTTCATTGAAACCGCTACGGTATCTCAACTATTATTCGAAGATCATACTATTTGTGATGTAAAATACAAAATCACGCATGTAAGAAGAGATGTAATATTTAGACTGTGAGTACTACAAAATCAGCTACAGAATTGACGATTTAGATTAAGGATACGATTTTTCTGTCGACGAGTATGATCAGTTATCACGATGCAGAAGCATGTAGACACGATGATACGTAATAGAAAAATTGTGTTGCCTGTTGAATGTCAACTGGCTATTATTCCGACTGCTTGTATACGGTAAACCTGTTTCAGATAAATGATCATTTCCTCAAGGACTTATCTACCTCTGAAGACAATCGACGCGTCGCCTCGGCTACGTTGCGACGAGCCGCCGAATGTCCGCGCGCGTCTTAATAAATTGTTTTCCAAACTTCATATCCGACGTTGTCATCACATCGCTCTGTAATTACTATTTAATTACGAACGCGAGTAAGTACAGCGGAACATGTCATAAATAGCGCGCAAATTTCAAGGGAGCGAGCGATTATACTACATTTACATCAGTGTGATTAACGTTGCAACGTCGCTGTTACTAGACAATTAAGATAAAGGTATATACCAATTCTTGAACCTAATCCTGGACATTCTTATTGTTTTGGTCTTTAAATACGAATATTTAAACTTTTAACAAAGAATATATCTACATACTCAATACTTGTACATATATTTTATGTTGAAAGTTATGTTTAAATATTTGTATCTAAAAACTATTTTCTTGGTCTTTAAATACGAATACTTAAACTTTCAACATAGAATATATCTACATACTCAATACTTGTACATATATTTTATGTTGAAAGTTATGTTTAAATATTTGTATTTAAAAACTATTTTTTTGGTCTTTAAATACGAATACTTAAACTTTCAATATAGAATATATCTACATACTTAATACTTGTACATATATTTTATGTTGAAAGTTATGTTTAAATATTTGTATCTAAAAACTATTTTTTTGGTCTTTAAATACGAATACTTAAACTTTCAACATAGAATATATCTACATACTCAATACTTGTACATATATTTTATGTTGAAAGTTATGTTTAAATATTTGTATCTAAAAACTATTTTCTTGGTCTTTAAATACGAATACTTAAACTTTCAACATAGAATATATCTACATACTCAATACTTGTACATATATTTTATGTTGAAAGTTATGTTTAAATATTTGTATCTAAAAACTATTTTCTTGGTCTTTAAATACGAATACTTAAACTTTCAACATAGAATATATCTACATACTCAATACTTGTACATATATTTTATGTTGAAAGTTATGTTTAAATATTTGTATCTAAAAACTATTTTCTTGGTCTTTAAATACGAATACTTAAACTTTCAACATAGAATATATCTACATACTCAATACTTGTACATATATTTTATGTTGAAAGTTATGTTTAAATATTTGTATCTAAAAACTATTTTCTTGGTCTTTAAATACGAATACTTAAACTTTCAACATAGAATATATCTACATACTCAATACTTGTACATATATTTTATGTTGAAAGTTATGTTTAAATATTTGTATCTAAAAACTATTTTCTTGGTCTTTAAATACGAATACTTAAACTTTCAACATAGAATATATCTACATACTCAATACTTGTACATATATTTTATGTTGAAAGTTATGTTTAAATATTTGTATCTAAAAACTATTTTCTTGGTCTTTAAATACGAATACTTAAACTTTCAACATAGAATATATCTACATACTCAATACTTGTACATATATTTTATGTTGAAAGTTATGTTTAAATATTTGTATCTAAAAACTATTTTCTTGGTCTTTAAATACGAATATTTAAACTTTCAACATAGAATATATCTACATATTCAATATTTGTACATATATTTTATGTTGAAAGTTATGTTTAAATATTTCTAAAGATTAGGGTTAGGTACATATCCGGGCATTTTTACCTTAACTCTCGTGAACAGGCGAGGTACGGTCGAGTTGTTTGCCGATACCGATTGCGTCAAATATGTTTCTTACGTATTTGCGAGCGCGGTCGCGCATCATTTATAGTC